AGCTTGATGATGATACAGAAAAGGAAACTGAGAAAGTGCCTTTTCTCCTATTTTTTTTTTCCAGTAACATATTTTTCCTGTGATTATTTCTTTTTGCCTGTTCCCTTTGTAGTACGTTGAAGAAAATCTTGGTGTGATGTCAGTAGGCTTCTTGCTTGGCAGTCCTGATGATGCTGTCATCTGGCGGGGACCAAAAAAAAATGGTTTGCACCTAAGTCTTTAATCATTTTGGCTTATTATTTCAGAACACACACTGTTGCTCTCAGTTGATGCAGATATCTTATTAAACTCAGTTGTAATTGTCTGAGTGCCTGTTTGCCTTGCTGTGTCATTGCATTTAATTTAGCTTAAATATAAAGAGCTGATGAGCACTTTAGAGGTAGAAATGTAAGCTTGTGTAATCAGTAGCATCTGATATTTTCTTTATTTAGTGGGATTCCATTGTAATGAATGAACAAATGTTATTTACATAGAGTATAAATTAAAGCCGTATCTTTTCTTTTTTTTGTAATGGAAGCCATAAAAGTGGGGAAAGCTATACCTTCTCTTTTCTCTCTTTCTAAGGCATGATCAAGCAGTTTCTTCGTGATGTGGATTGGGGAGAGATTGACTACCTCATTGTAGATACCCCACCTGGCACTTCAGATGAACATCTATCCATAGTCCAGTATCTCAGTGCAGCACACATAGATGGAGCAGTAATAATCACTACTCCTCAGGTGAGACCAATGCCATTTTTATTTTCTAAAAGCTGTACACTAATATTAAGCATTGCTGTGAAGCAGTTTAAAGAATGTTGGATTTGGAGTCAGAAGATGTGAGTTCAGATCCTAGCTCTTCCAATTTATGTCCTTGGGCAAGTCACTTGATCTCTCTGGGCCTTGGTTTCCTTATCCGTAAAATGAGAGGTTTGGATTTGATTAGCTGTAAAGATCCTTCTAGTTCAAAATCTGTGATCCTATTTTTCTGTTTGGGTACTTGAAACTTGAAGGATGTACGATCATCTAACATAATGATTTTTAAATTGTGATTTCTTTAGGAACAGTGCCCAGTTGTCTTTACACATGTTATTTGCATCTAGACAACTGTAATGTAAAAAATCATTACACAGTTTTTTCCTTTGTTAAGTTAAACACTTTTTTATTCTGTAGCCCCTTTCTCTTGACTTATATCACAAACATAACGTAACTTTGTATTATTCTACTTTGCTAAAGTTTCTGCTTTCCCATAAGACCTATTAAGACTTGCTAACAACCTGAATTCCTAGTTTTTGGTCCATTTTCTGCATTTTTCAAAAATGGTTCATTAATATTCCCAGTATCCTATGAATTTAACTCTGAAGCCTGGAAAGATTATGTAAGCTGCTAATGAGTAGTTTTTTTTTGTTTAGTCATTTTTTTCAGTTGTTTCTGACTCATTGTGACCCCATTTGGGGTTTTCTTGGCAAAGATACTAGAGTGGTTTGCCATTTCCTTCTCCAGCTCATTTTATAGATGAGGGAACTGAGGCAAACAGGGTTAAGTTACTTGCCCAAGACAACATAGCTAGTAAGTGTCTAAGGCTGGATATGAACTCAGGTCCTCCTGATGGCAGGGCCAGCACTCTATCAACTACTGCACTACCTAGCTACTCAGTGAGTACTGTTCAGGGCCTATTTTTCTCCACAGAAGATGCTAAGGAATATAATAGACAGGAATCTTGGAATGAGAAACTTAACATCTTGGATCTAACTTAACATTAACTTAAGAATGTTCAAGTTGTCTGGGATGAGAAAAATTCACAATGGTCACTTTAATCAGTGATTGTGAAATACCTTCTATTAATGTCTTATTTAATTGAAAGAAATAGTTAATTGACTTTATTGAATTTGAAAATTTTCTCTAGTCTCTGGTCCATTTCTCCTATTGAATTAGTAAGATTTTATGTTTGGGGAGCTTTTTGTGAGGAAACACATCTACACATTAGAATTCCACTACATGACAGTATTCACAGCAGGGCAGAATTGAGCACAAGAGGATTCTGTCATGGACTCCCACCTAAAAGGATTTAGTTACTGAAGTATTGAAAGGACCTAACAAGGTGACATATCGTAACTGTTAAATCTCTTTATGCCAACAAACCCAAAAGGATGTGGGCTTTATATGGAAACATGGGTTTTGTAGATGCTAATTTTGTAATAATCCAGAAATTGACTAACATAGTTAAGTAGAGGAATAGGTATGTTGTTGTTTCCAGGAGGGCAAGAGGCTGGGATATATGAACCAAGATAAGATGTGAGAGAAGAGGGTAGATAAAGTTTTTTGGTTTTTTTTTTAAAAAGCTCTTTAGTTGCAGGAAGAGTCCATCAAAAGAGAGTTGACAGAAAAACCACTTATCTTGAACGCTGTTCAGGGAAATAGGTTTTAATGCAGATAGACATTTTTAGCATGAAACCAAGTTGAAAGTACCTAGTTCATTCAATTAGTAAGTTTTTGAGGGTCTCTTTCATTTTATCATCCTTAGACCATCCAATAGTTCTGAACCCAAGGACAGGTTTATAGCAAAATTTCTGTGAATTGTTGAATCTGTGCCAGTCTAATGATATGTTTAATATTCTTTCTCCTGTCTTCTTAGAAAAGGAAAGAACTTTGAGCAATTTAGGTCATATTATGTAGTACCATGATTATACCATAACTGATAAATCATAACCTAGTCTATTTTTAAAGAAGTCCATAAAAGTTTACTACCTTAGCTAATTTAAAAAAAAATATTGATTCTTCTGAAAACAAATTCCAAGTTTATGGCATGCCTAATAGGGTTGTAAAGGGTCTTCTCATTACAAAATATAATAGGACAGTAACTCAGGAATACTCACGTATATGTATATGTAGATTAAGTGGGGAAAAATACAAAGCCAAGATAAACTTGTTTCTTTCCTTTGATCTTTTGGTTAATTACAAGATACAGAAATCTAGTCTTGGAGAACTTACTCTTCACAAAACTTTACTAATGCCCAGTTTTCAAATTTACATTTTGATTGGGTATTTTTTCTACCTAGACAGTTAATGATTTCCAGAACTATCCTTTTTAAAATGTATCTACTCCAGACAAACAGCTCTACTATTGGACTTACTCTTTAGAAATGTAAGCCCAACAATTTGAAATAGACCAGAAAGGTTAGAGTATCATACTTCCCCTAGAGCTTTTTTCCAGATTAGCAGTCTTATATGGAACTTGTGGCTATTTAATCAATAGCTTTTTTTATATACTAAGCACAAAATTGATACTTAGCCATGTTCTCTACTGTGAAACTAGTATTATACTGTATTATACTGTAGTTTCTTATGTTAGTTCTGAAAAACTGACTGTATTCCTTTGATAGGAAGTATCACTACAGGATGTTCGAAAAGAAATCAACTTTTGTCATAAAGTGAAATTGCCAATAATTGGTGTAGTAGAGAACATGAGTGGCTTCATATGCCCCAAATGTAAGGTAAGAACATCTACATTTTTTTGTGAGAGAGAGAAAGAGAATCTGTGTGTGTCTGTGTGTAGTATATATAGTGCTACATGTTAATTTTTTTAAAAAATCTTCCACAACTGAAGAAATAATTTTATGATAAGAATATTTCTTCATAGACCTGTCTCTGGGTTCTTTAATTTCAAAAAGTAGGTCCACAAAATTCTTTATTATGGATTTCATGAATACACTGCTTTAATTTAGCATATTAAATATCCACAAAGGCTATTTCAGAGAAATGATATGACCTACTTATAAGTATAGTGATTTAATATGCTTTTAAAACTAATTTTTTTATTATATCTATGTTCTTTCTTTACAGAATGAATCGCAAATATTTCCTCCAACAACAGGGGGCGCAGAGGTAATGTGCCAAGATTTAAAAGTCCCCCTCCTCGGTAAAGTGCCTCTGGATCCACAGATAGGTGAGTGGTCCTTCATGTATATGAAAGACCTATAATGTCTTAAAATGAGTTAGATGAATTACTCAGTTATGCTCTTTACTATGTCAGTTAAAGTAGGTTTGGGCGGGATAACTATTCTCAAAGTAAACCTTTATTTTAAAGTAAGATCATTATAAAAATCACTAGAACCAAGAGAACAAAAATGTCATGCTCAGTTCATAAGCTTAAATTTGATTTTTTTTTTTCAAGGTAAAAGTTGTGATAATGGACAATCCTTTTTGACTGAAGTGCCTGATTCACCAGCTACGTTAGCATATAGAAATATAATCCAAAGTAAGTGTTTAAAACATGTTAATAATTATCTCATTAAAAATATTTCTCTGTGGTTCACAGTTCTGTCTTATCTAATATCTTAGATAAATGAGTGTTTTGCTCAGAGAATCCTAGAATTTAGGGTATATTCATGTAAATTCTTCAACCATGTGGTTATGACCAGTTGTTGAGCTATATATGTAAAGTGTAGAGACAGAGTTAGCTGTGGAATAAAGCTTTTAGTACTGTTATTTCCTTGTAGATAGTTACCTCCAGTAAAATGTGATAAACGTAGCAAAGAATATAAATTATAGGAAATCAGTAGTAGTGGATTCTGTGTCATATTAATGCTTGTATGAATATTTCTCTTTCTAGGAATTCAAGACTTTTGTGGCTTACATAGTTCAAAAGAAGAAAAGCTGATTAGCTGCTGAAACATGAATTTTTATGGACCCTAGCTATAGTCATAAACATTCTAAGAAATGGACTAGTACTATGTATAATAAAAAAATCTAATCAATTGCAGGGATAAACGTTAGAAATTTAAAAGCCTGACCTGGTTTTGAAGTCACTTTTTAAGGACACTTTAATCATCTAATTTTGATAAACTTTTTATTAAGATATGAGTTAATATAATGTAAGGCACTGTATTTCTAGATAGGCCATTTAAAAAATAAACATCTTTCCTCCTCTAAAACTTCTGAGACTTATTTCAAGCAGATATACAAAATAGTTATCATTTAAATTCTTCCTAAATAGCAGCAGCAGCATTCAGTTAGGGAACCTTTCATCTAATTTTCCCAATCCTCTCAAAAAAAGAAAAAAAAGAAGAAAGAAAAATTTAAATTAATATATTCAATGTCCTTTAAGAATCTGTTATTTCGATGGTATGGATTCTCCCTCCACCTACCCAGATTGTATCCATTCTGTACCTTTGTATAAGATCTCCAACAGTTGTGGCTTACATTTTCCTAAGATTTTATAAGACTAAAGTTTCTTGGGAAGAGGGGGAAGAGAGGTAAGCATTCACATATATTGTCAGCTCTTGATTGACCCTACCATTTATAAAACTGCTAAACAGTGTGAGAATTACAACTGTTTTTAATCAGGAAAATCCAACAAATGGTTATTTATATATTTAGTAAACTCTTGAGCACCTACAGTGTGCCAGGCACTGAGGAAGATACAGACAACTGAGATCTCAAGGAGTATACTGTCTGGTTTGGACATAACACTACTTTGCATTTATTTGTACAGAAGTTTACAAAGTGCTTTTACATATATTCTCATTTGATCCTTGCAACACTGAGAAGCATAACATAATATTATCTCCATTTTACCAGAAAGGAAGCTTACTCAATATAATACTAAATAGTAAGTAGTTTAGTTGAACCAGTCATCTTAGTCCAGCACTTTTCCATTATACTAGCAAGAAGTCAAAAGATGGTCTATAAGTACCAAATAAGTGGTACTTATTTATTTAAGAGTTATGAATTCATATGAGGGCACTAGAGTGGAAGCAGCCAAGAAAAGCTGCAGGGGGGGGGAAAGATGAGGATTAAATGAGGCCCAAGTCAAGAAGTATGCATAGCTTGTTCAAGGTACAGTAAGACCGGGAAGGTTGAAAAGAGAAATGGAGCCAAATTACTCAGTGGATCACAATGCTAGTTTAGTGTTAGAACCTTAATCTGGAGGTAATGAAGAGCCTCTGCTTCTCATTTAATTTTTGTGTATTTCCATTCTCTCTAGACTGGGCTTTTGAAATTCATCTTGACACTCCTGTAAAATGGAAAATATGTTGACATTTTAGTACTATGTGTGTATAAAGATTTAAGCATACAAAACAGTAACCTAACCAATAGCTCATTTACTTAAGTATTAAGAAAGAGATTACTAATCCACAGGACTGTTGTATTAATTAGCATCATCATAAGACATCACAGTTTAGAAATAAATGGTATTCCATAACTAATTTGTTCAAAATTTAAAATCAATATATCTAGATGTGTTTACCAGAAGATACTAATCTTATTAAGTGGGAAGTTTGGGGTTTCATCTTTCCTTCTTCATAGTATTTAAATCTTTTGAAACTTAACAGTGATAGCTTGGCTTACATGCAAACTATTGAAAACTTGAGGTGTGGTATGTAGATACATAAAGTGGCTCTTTCCTTTGATGTACTTAAGGGGCTTTAGCACAAACTCAAGATATACAACTACCTCCAACTTACGCTCTGAAATACTGTCTGGGATAGAAACCTTGATGTGACCTTGGTGATAGTTTTTTGTCCTCCTATTTTACAGTGGATATATCCATATAGATTAGCAGTTTGGAGGGAGATTCCAGCAATTACAAGTGCCTGTTAAGAAAAAAAAAAGTATTAAAAAAAAATCCTAAGGATTTTTTTCATTTCAACCACCTTGATCCGATATTAATCTATCCTCATTCTGTTTCTCAGAAGACCATGGAATGTGGTTTCATTGTACTATTAATACTTTGTTTCAACTTTAGGTAAACCAAATCTTGGCAGTAAATAGGCTCAAGCATCTTTAGGTATTCTTTAGTACTCTGACTTATGCATTCACAATAATGGGCTCAGTGTTAGAGGCAGAATGCAGCCTTAAAATGGTATTTCAAAACCCAAAAACTCCTGTGACTATGAGGTTTAAGAAGACAAAACAAAAGTTTTGAGTGAAAATGTTAATGACTTACAAGCCATTTGAGCTTCAGGGAGAATAAGGTGCTAAAGAAGAATACAGTCCAGATCAATGGACAGATAATTAGACCAAGCCAGAAGATTCTAGCTTCAGCTTCTGTTCCAGTTGAATTATTTAAAGAGACCTGTTAAGAGAATGTTGTTCAAATTAAAATGTGATATGTTGTGGTTTATGTTGACTTGACTTGTACTATTCACAATATGCATGTACCAGAAAAGAGGCAGTAGGGATACATCTTGTGCAGGGCAGGAATCAAGACAGGTACAAATCCTGAAACAAACCAATATAAAAATTTAACAATTTTTAATTTCTCCTTAACTCAATTCTTAATACCTTTTTGGCTTCAAAAATCCAATGACTTTTTCCATCTTCATCTATCTGGTTCCACCAGCGTAAGCCAACCATGAGTCTTCCTGTCACATTCTAATGAAAATGGACAAATTAACTATAAGATGCACTTTTCCTTTAGCTCACTATTTATGTTATTACAAACATACCACACAAAAAGAGTAACCCCCTTTAATGGAAGGTAAAATGTAAGTCACATAATTAATAACTGTCATGGGGACAGGAAGGGAAGGAAGGTTGAAACATGCTATTTTCTTAAAATTAGTTTTTAGTGACATCTGATTTTAAATTTAAAAAAAAAGTGATAGAGTCTGACCCATCTATTTCAGGACCAATTTTAAAACAAGAGAGACATAGGATCATCCAGAATCTGGTAGATAACAGAGAACTGCCATCCTAGCTAAGGTTCATAAATGTGATATTTTTATTTGTTGCCATCAGCAAAGAAATAAATGCTGTAACTTTTCACCGGTGTTAGGTAACACTGTTTCCAGATCCTTAAATATTTAATAGTAGTCTTAATCAAAGTAGTAATATGGTGCAATGTATAGAGGGCTTTAACTACAGGACTTAATCTAAGATCACTCAAGCCAGTCACTTAACCTCAGCACCCTGGGTAATTCTCTAAGACTCTAAACTGCAGAGGCAGTTTCCTCATCCAGGCATTCTCTATATCAATGAAATCTCAGGTGTGTTCTCTATCCCAAACCTATAGCTTTGTCCAAATTGTATTTGTTTTTTAATTCAAAATTAATCAAAAAGTCACAATCAGCAGATAAAAATTATAAAATTATTGGAAACAAATTCATTGCTGGTGCAAGACTTGTCTTACCTTGACAGACCAAAAGTCAAAGGACAGAAGAAGGAGAATAGTGACAAAACAGGCAACAAAGCTTTTGCTGAACCAGTCACAGAACAAGTAGGTAATGATAGCACTCACTCGGAAAAAGAGGTGGAAAAAGGTGGCCAGTGGATGCCTAGGAAAATAATCCAAAACACTTACTAGCTTTAGTAGGTAAATATGAAAACGTTTTTAGTCCAAGATTGCAGAATCTGTCCCTAAATTAGCATCATTCAAATGCAGATACTTTATATTCTTTAATATATTTTATGACAGCTGGAAATTTAGACTGTAGATTTGATGGAAAACAGTTAAATGTCTAATAAAATGCATTACTGATACTAATGCATCTTTTGTTGTTTTTTTTAAATAGATTTAAAAATTGATAGCTTTTGTTTTAACATTATCTAGATTTACCCCGTAGTATCTTTTGTTTTTACATTGCCTAGGTTTCCCCCATGCTTCTCCTCCTCCCCCCTCCCAGACAGTCATTCTTTACAACAAAAATTTTGGAAAAGGAAAAAAATTCAGCAAAACTGAGCAATTCATCAAAAGAATATGAAATTATATGCAATATTTCATAACCATGGAATCTCCTTCTACCGTCCTGCTGCAAAAAAAAAAAAAAGGAAGGTATCCTCTCATATCTCTCTTTGAGGCCAAGCTTGTTTGTTATAATTTTGCAACATTCCTTTTTCAATTGTTTTGTTATGGTTCTTTCCATTTGCATTGTTGTAACCATTGTGTATATTGTCTTATTTTTAAAAAAAAAAAAATTTCATAGTCCCAAGTCTTCAAAATAGAAGCTTCAGGACAGAAGGACTTGTTTAAATTTACTATCTTAAACCATCATTTTTTTTTTCTTAGTCAAGGGTTATTCACTATTTTGTACAAATAAAATGGTGAGTCATTTAAAAAAAAATCAAATGAAGATGAGCCTTTTTTCCCTCTCACCCTCTTTTGACAAAGCAAGAAAGACAAAACCTCCTATAAATAGGGATAGTTAAATGAAAAAAGTTCCCCTGTTCTGCATGACCAGAAAAATAATGTCTCATTTTGGATTCTGTGTCCATCATTCATTATCAGAAGGTAGGTAATGTTTCTTTGTGGTTCTTCTGGAATTGTGGTTGGTCATTGTGGTGATCAGAATTCCTAAATTTTTTTAAAAATGCACGTCTTTGTTGTTGTTATTGTAGAAATTGTTTTCCTGGTTCTGTTCACTTCACTCTGTATCAATTCATGTAAGTTTTCCCAGGTTTCTCTGAAATCATCCCCATCATCATTTCTTATAGTGCAATAGTATTTCATCACATGCATATACCATAACTTGTTCAGCCATTCACCAATTGATGGATACCCTATCAGTTTCTGATTCTTTGCCACCACAAAAAGAGTGGCTACTGTAAATATTTTAGTATACACAACTCTTTTCTCTTTCTTGGATCTCTTAGGAGTTTGCATCATTGGGTCAAAGGGTTTAATAGCATTGGGGGCATGATTCCAAATTGATTTCCAGAACACCTGGACCAATTCTCAGCTGTTCCAACAGTGCACTAATACTTGTTTTCTCACAGCCCCTCCAGCATTTGTCATTTTCCTTTTTTGTTAACTTTGCATATCTGATGGGTGGAAAGAGGGAACTTTCATATGACTAATGATGGCTTGGCTTTCTTCCTCTGAAAACTGCTTGTTTATATCCTTTGACCTCTTTTCAATGGGGAAATGGCTCTTATTCATGTAAATTTAAACCTGTTGCCTATACATCTTATAAATGAGACCTTTATCAAAGAAACTTAACTACAAAGCTTTCTCTCTCCCCCATTATTCTTTCTCTCTTCTAATTTTAGCTTCATTGGAGGTTTTGGTGCTAAAAATGTTCTAATTCTATGTAATTAAAATTGTCAATTTTATTTTATTTCTCAATAAAGAAATTTTATTTCTTCTGTCATTCTCTCTATCCCTTGTTTGGGAGGCAAACAGGGTTAAGTGACTTGCTCAAGATCACACACACAGCTAGTGTCGGAGGCCAGACCTGAACTCAGGAAGATGAATCTTCCTGACTCCAGACCCCACACTCTATCCACTTCACCATCTAGCTGCTTATTATCAAATTCCATATTATTATCATTGATTTGGATGTAGTAAGTGGTATAAGAGATATCAGAAATCATGTAAAATTGGAAAAGTGGTGGGATGGCCATGTATAGAGAAGAAAGGATAGCAGATGAACAGCCTGAGTGCTCTGCTGGGATTCACAATTATTAAATGAGCTTAAGGGAAGTCCTCAGCATTTCAGGGCCTCTCTGGAGAATTCATGGAAAGACTGACAAGAACTTCGCAGGATGGGAAGCCAATGATTTCAATCTGCACTGTTAGAGAGGATCTAAACACTGACTAGCCCAAAGAACAAATCTCTAAGTAATATTTAAATATATGTTTAGTCAACGAATGAAAAGGACAATACTTTTTTTAAAAATCATAATTATAGAATACCAAAAGTACTCAAAATAAGAAGAATATGAAATATTAGATACAATTGTCATTAGGTCAGGAGAGATGATAAAAGAAAGTATCAGTTGTTGCTCAGATTAAAAAACTGGTAAGAAGAAAGAATTTATGGGTTTATATGATACAGAGTTCCCATCCGACCTAATGGAAGAGTAAGTGAATGTGTATTCAATACTTATGTTTTAGGAAATATTTTTACTCATATTATTCCAAAGAATGAGGCAAGATCTGTTATTAAACTATCAGCATATTTACTTAATAATCTTAGCCACTGAGTTGTTTTTTTTTAATTGAGTTCTCAAGTTGTGGTATATGAATGTAATGGAATACTTCTGTGCTATAAGAAATGATGAGCAGGTGGATTTCAGAAAAACCTGGAAAGACTTACATTAACTGATGCTGAGTGAAGTGAGCAGAACCAGAAAAACATTGTACATTGTAACAGCAACATTGTGCAATGATCAACTATGATAGACTTAGCTCTTCTCAGCAGTACAATGATCCAAGGACATTCCAAAAGACTCATGATGGAAAATGCTATCCACGTCCAAAGAACTGATGGAGTTTGGATGCAGACCAAAGCATATTATTCTCATTTTTTGTGTGCTTTTTACCTTTTGCTCTATTTCTTCTTTGACAACGTGACTAATGTGGAAATATGTTTAACATGATTGCATATAATTGCTTGATGTTCTAGAGAGGGGGGAGACAAATTTGGAACTCAAAATCTTATAAAGAAAAATGAATGTTGAAAACTATCTTTACCTGTAATTGGAAAAAAATAAAATACTATTTACCAAAAAATTTTAAATTGAGTTCTCACAATTTTTGGCAATTGTATTATTTTTGTAAACTCTGAAAAACCAACCTTTGAAACATACCAAATGCTTAAATACTAGACAGTGAGACCTTGGTTAACCCTCATTTGATCTAAATATTCATTCTTCAAGTGTTTAAATCAAATGAGGTTAATTTGATGGCCTTTTTTGTTCTAACCTTGTTAACTCTTTCTACTGTACTGTTTCCTGCTTTAATCTGTACAGTGTGCTAGGGATCATAAGATCATAGAAGCAGAGCTAGAAGGGTCCTCAGAGGACATCAAGTATAACCCGCTCATTTCACATACGAGGAAACAAACCCAGAGGAGTTAAATAATTTGCCCAGGGTCCCACAACTAGTAACTAGTGTCAGATGTAAGATTCTTACTGGGATAAACCAACATTATGTTATTATATTAATAACTAATTATTAATTTTTGATCTACTCTTTTCCTTTTATTTCTGTTAAAATCCAACTTCTGAAAAGGTCAGTCAGGTTTATGGGCATGGCTGAGTGAGATTGTGCCTAGCCCTCAAGGTACATGTTCATTTACTAGGTTGGGTGGGACCTCAGGACCCCACCTAACTGGGAAACCCAATTTCTGTTCATAGTATAAACAGAATCCAATCTGAGTGAGCTTTTGCCTGGAGGAGGAACCTCCTGTCCTTTACCCCCCTCCATTAGAGTTTAGGGCAACCCAGCTGTTGAAGAAGAAAAATAGCCAGACAGGTCGGGAAGGAAATGCCTTGAGGCTGCTAAGTCTAGCAATCTAGCCATGTTCTCAGCAGGAAGAACTGAAGACTTTTAACTCACCTTCTCATTAAATTCCACCAATCAGGGTTGAGTTTTACTTGCCAGGGGACTTCCCTTTTAGAAAGGATTTAAAGACATTTCAGGGTCCCCCTTTGGGTTTTTGGTTACCAAGAGAAACCCCTGACCATCAATTTATTGATTGCTGGCTAGCCTAATTAATAAATTATTAATTACTCAGAAACTCTGTCTCTTGAGGTTTTTATGTGACATCACCCAGGTCTTTCCAACTCCATGTCCAGCACTTTCCACCACATAAAGCTACTTCATACTAACTGAATGTTTCTGGAATAACTGCGGATCTTACAGTAGTTTGGTCATTTCTGAGTATCAGTTATCTCCATAGATTTAGGAGATTATCTCAAAAAACACCGACCCTGAGATATACCCCAGAAGTTTTTTTCATGTTTGATGTCTACTTGTATTCTTGTCTTTTTGTCTTCTTAAGGCTAGGTATTTGGGTGGGGGGGAGGGGTTTACCAATAATTTCAGTGTCTTGGTCAACTGGATTCTGATTAATCAAGGTTTTATTTAAGACATAAATGTAAAGTACTATGTGACCTTTCTTAGACCACAAATGGCCTTTTAGTTCTTTCAAACAATTCTCTAAGATGCTGACCAGGGGTTCTTCACCTTATTGGTATCATGGACCGGTTGCCAATCTGGTGAAGCCCTATGGTTACCTTCTCAGAATGGTACTTTTAAATACATAAAATAAAATATATAGGATTATAATAGAAACCAAATATATTGAAATGCAGTTATATATATGGTATATTGGATATATATGCACATATCTGAAATATGTGTGTATGTGTATATGTGTGCATATGTGTATATATGTATATGTGTCTACACACATATACACACACACCAAGTTCACATAGCACAAGTTAAAAACTATTTTAAGACTCCAAGTTACAGACCAGTGACTGATCTGCATCGGTAGATACGGTTCCCTTACCCCACACCAATGAAACAGTAGGTCCGGACCAAAAA